ACTAACCTGAATCTTGCGGACATTTGGGGATGATTCCCCTTACTAACCATGATTCCAGTGAGGTCGCAGTGAGGTTGTTATAATTTACCCAGAATCATAGATTTTCAATATGATTCAAGTAGAAAACCATGGCATCTTATGTGTTCTTGCGGATTAAAGTCGGAAACAATGGTCTGAGCAGGAACAATTGCGGATTAAACTAGGAAACATATTGAGTTAAGTGGGACATCTCAGGATTTTCAACAAAGAGTAGCATCTTAAGCTGCAAGAATTTTTCGTTTCAACAATCAAACGTGAGACACTATGCTTCGGCAAACATGTGGAAATATTTGGATGAACTCAATTGTGGAGAGAGGTTCTCCTTCAAGCTTCGCCAGGCTCGTTTGTGTGTGGCAGCTGGTGGACACTACCACCGAGGTGAACACCAGGGTGGCCGACTCGAACACGGCAGCGTCGCTTGCAAGTACTCTGTTAGTATGTTGTCCGGTGGCATCCGGTGGCATATGTCTTGCGCATATTTTTTTGGACAAACTCTTGCGCAGCTCTTTTTTACAAGAAGATATTCCAACAATTTGGCAAAATTCAACAAAAACGCAGGGTTTTTTGAACACCTTCTATTTGAAGTTTGGCCACTTCCCAGTGATCCCTGGCCGATCCATTTTCTATTTGATATGGAAACCCTCACATTCTCAATTTCGTGTGGGTTTTCTATTTGAACAATTACCTCTATATCTTCAAGAATTTCATGACCGAGGCCAGTGTCTAATCACCAACCAAGCATCATTTGTTAAGTACCCTCTCGTTGAACAGTTTGCTACAGGATGGGGCCCCCAAGATAGCTAAGTTGGTTGATAAGTGGCTGAATTAACTCTGGTTTATGGTAGATATAACTATAGTTTTCATGGGGATTATATTGGTTTATAAACCAACGTTCACATCACTGGGCGGCCCCATCCTGTATGGAAAATAGCCATTTCCTGTAAATGCTGATCTCATGATTTACCCTGTAAAAAATGCTGGTTTTCCACAGCTACGTGAAGTCACCAAAGGTTTTTTTTATCGTTTTGCTGGTACCATATCTGATGGTGAACTTCCTGATTTTCCCCCCAGTTCTGTTTTTGTTCACCCGTCTAACTAGGTTTTATATAACCATATTTTTCCCAAGTTAAATTAGTCATCAATCAACAAACACCTATTGCAATTCAACTATCAATCAACACAGTTGTAATGGTTAAGTCCCAGTTTTGTCCCTCACTATTGATGGTTGCATATGGTTACATCAGTTCACCATAATCTATCAATCACACCCCATTTTTTTGATGGTTAAATCAGATTTTTTCCGCAGTTGCATCCCAACTTTCTTATTGTTTGGGGGCCCCTTCCTGTGGAGCAACAACAACCCGACACCCCCAATGACAGCCTCCTGCAGTAGGATCTTCTGAAAGGAAGAACCCTCCAACCTTGGGGCTAGGTCCAGCAGTTAGATCGGAAGTAGCAATTCTACATAGATTGTACACCATACAATGTATATGATATGTAACATAATTATATAGATAGTAAATAATGCACTTTTGGCCTATAGTATGCAACGTATGAATCTGACTCTTGCAGCCGTGACTTGGAAACTTGGGTAAAGGCAAAACCATTCTCATCATCCCCGACCCGAAATCATGAAGAAACGTCGATGTCCTTCAAACCAAACATATTATCTAGCTGGGGATTATAATGGTTTATAAAATCTATATCTGGTTGGTGGTTTTGAGCCACCCCTCTGAAAAATGATGGAGTTTGGACCAGTTGAGATGATGACATTCCCAATATATGGAAAAATAATCCATTCATGTTCCAAACCACCAACCAGCTAGTGAATCATTTGCGCAAAGATTCCATCAAACATATGCGAAGTGAAACCAGATTTGAGGAGTGCTGCTCCTTCCTTTGTTTCCTTGTACCACAGCGTCTGGTCATATACTTGACATCAATTGGTTTGCAAACGCAAACCACGACTCCAACATCTATCATGCGATTTACCCTCTGGTAAACTAACAGTTTGCTATTGAAAATCACTATTTTATAGCTGGGTAAATCCACTATTTCTATGGCCATTTTCAATAGCTTTTTGTTAACGTTTACCAGGCCGGGTACCCGGTTTGTGAAAAAATGTTTGCTGATTGAAATATCCACTTGGTTGGTCAAATGCAGCTAAACTTGCTGCTTAAATCCACATCATTTTTTTTGCAAAAAAAACCCATTTGTTGCAGCTAAACTACGCCTAAATCTGTTGGATAACATGGTATTTCTCTGCTGAAAACACCATGAAACACCCAGAAGTGCCAATTTTTTTGATCAAATCCATCATTTGAGCCATGGTCAATACTCACTATATGGTTGATGGTCATCCCATCCATAATAAGGATCCAAAAATAATGGTTAGTATAAATCCCTATAAACCATTGGATGACTAGCCCCGTTTTTAATGGTTATTAACCATGAGTATTGACCATAGCTCATTTCTTGCATAGAAACCAGCATTTTGTCGTCACTCCCCATTGAAAATGGAACCGATCCAGCCGAGGTGCAAGGGGAAGCGCTTCGTTTCCCGCGTTTCTCTCTCAATGGAGACCGAAGCCACAGAATCTGAGGGAACGATGGGTGATGATTTCTGAAAAAACTCCCAATACCCTCCGGTAAATTAACAGTTGGACCCTGAACATAGCCTAGTTTTAATGGAAACTAATCTTCCAAGCCCGATGACTACCAGGGTCTATGTTAAATTACTGGAGGGTATCATCCAATATCATCCGGGTATCCTATTTTCAGACACATCCAAACATGGGCCAAAAAAGCAGGTATTGGATTTAAGCATGACCAGCCTTTTGTGGGTCTAATAGTGGGTCGATAGTCAAATGATACCCATATCTCCTCTAAGCATCTGTGCAAATTGCAATCATTCCTAAACTTGGATTCCCCAGAATATCACATTCCCCCTGAAAATTAAACATCTTTTGATGGTCGGAACTATGTGTAAATTAACCACTAAGCATGGTGTCTGGGGGGTGTTGATATTAGAGGGAAAGGATTACATCATCTATACCTGTGGAAAATCACCATGTTTAATAGGCGAATCAGCATGTTTATCATCTATAAATGGGTCATTTTCCATAGCAACCTGTTGGTTTACTGGAGGGTAATGGATATACTCCCATGATATCCCCTATCAAAATTGAGTTTGCATGTCATTTTAGTAGGTAATCCATCTACATTTTTTTCCTTTTCCATAGCAAACTCTTAGTTTATTGGAGGCTACCCTCTGGTAATGACTAACATAACTATGGAAAATCACCATTTATAGTGAATGTTCCCATTAAAAATGGTGATTTTCCATAGTTTTTTGTAAACGTTTACCAGAGGGTAGGCCCATAAGCCCACAACACATGCAGTGATGGTGGCCATAAGAGGTCCGGGCAAGCCGGGCCACTGGATGCGGACTGGCTCCAAGTGGAGGTACCTGGCCCCGATGGAGGAACCAACAGCCAAAGATTTGTTGGTTATATGTCCCATTAGTTGGGATATATGATATGGGGTATAATTGGGTATGTATGTCTATATCTATATATCCTACTATATGTATATATAACGTATACCAATATATGTATATATATATATTATTGGTTGGTTAAGTACCATATTCATGAATTATTCATGGGTGATCTTCCCATACTATTCCCAGTGACCAATCATGACTTGGGATCCTGACTTAAATCATCCCATAAGAATGTACCCAATTTCATAAACCCAATTGATTGGATGAGTGGATTTTAAAAATCTCAATTTTTTACCCAATAATCATCATAAACCATGCCATAAGAATAAACCATCTATTACACCCCTTTCATTCATCTAAACCATCCCATAACAATAATCATCATTTTAGTTCCATAAACCATTTTTTTTAGGGAATATTGGAGATGGTGAAGATTGTTGGCTTTGTCTCATTACACCTGATGACTATGCATAGACTATGCACTAAAGTCTGAAGATAGCCAGCTACAAACATTTTCCCTATATCAATATGTGGTTTAATCCTCTATCTAAATAGGGTTTTATGATCTAAAGTGTGGGAATATCCAGACATCTGGGTAAATTATAATGTTTCACTAACCTGAATCTTGCGGCCAGCTATGGGGATGATTTCCCGAAAATAAACCATGATGAACCAGGGCTCGGGAGAACAGCGAGGTCGTGATGATTTTTTTACCCAGATTGTCGTTAGAAATATCCCATTGGCTCAGCAGCTTCCATCCCAACATGGGCATGCTATTGCTGTTTATATTAATGTATTAATATGTACCCTCTGACATAGCCATGGTATAGATGGCCCATAGAAATAGATGGTTTACCTATTAATAGCATGGTGATTTTCCATGGCAAACTGTTAAATAACCAGAGGGTATATATACTCAGAATCGGGCACAAAGGAATTAGATGGCTTCATACTAACAAAATGACCAAGCAATTTGTGGTTCACTGGGTACACTGACATGATATTCGACCAGCTTGAAAAACCAAGAAAGGGGGATTCTATGGGATTCTTATTCTGTGTTCTGTGTAGGAAACAATCAACAACTGCTTGGTTGTTTCAAGCCATCCCAAAACTATGCGTGTCAATCCGGATTCCCCTGTCGATTCATCACATATTTGCTAGTGATTCTTTCCAGTATGTATGTTAAACTAGGCGATATCAGATACACTTCTCAGTTTTAGAGGATAAGTCCTGAATTCTACTCAAACAATCCACGATTTTACTGGATACATTCCATTTTTCCTGCATAAATCCCAAATTGTAGTGGATCAATTCCATTTTTTCTTTCATAAATCCAAGATTTTACTGAAGAAGTCCAACATTCTCCTGGAGAATTTCACGTTTTTAGGTGGTCAAAGTGCCATTTTTTTCGACGATGAATTCTCTCTCTGGAGCCCTGCGCCTCGCTGCTTTAAACCTCGCTGCGGTTTTTGTATGGCTAATGTGGTTAAAACAATGATGATCATAGTATCTCCCATTATACTAATTGGGTAAAACCGCATGAAAATAATAGCTATCATAGTATTATCACAGGCATTATGATCGACTTGGTAAAAATGGGTAAAACAATGATTAATAATGGTTAATAATGATGCATAATGGTTAACAATGATGAATAGTGGATAATAATGGACAATAACAATGATTGATGGTTATTGATGTGGGTAAAACAATGCCATAAACCATCCACGACTGGGAATGGTAAACATGCCACCTATCAAAATGGTGATGACATGTGATGACTGGGGGATGGTTTCTTATTGCTTTAACATGTTTTAATCACATTAGTACTGTATAGCAATCGTCCAATAGTATGTAGTTACTCCGGTTTTGATGGTTCTATACGCGTTTATGAATAAACATCAATATCCCCATTCTAAGTACAATTCACGGTCACTACAGTACTTTTGGGGGAGTTAAATAGACATAAATAAAATAATTGGGAATAAACAAAATAAAAGGGTGCTTTACTTGTTAGTGTTTGGGAATTTAACTGGCAATAACTAGAACTGATATATGGGTTATGGGGAAGCGGGGATAAGTCCAGCCGTACTGGATATATACGTAGTAAGTTTAAGGATATGGTGGGGATGTAAAGGGGAATAGATGGGATATGTAACAATAACCAACAAAATGACATTTTAAGGGTTCATCTAGAAATACAGTATGGCAATTCAAACGTTTTGCGGATGAGGATGAACTACTGGATTTCGGGGTACCCTGGTTTTGAACAACCCATCTAGTCCTATGATGTGAAGAATCCATTGCCATACCCTCTGGTAAACTAACATAACTATGGAAAATCAGTATTTTTCATGGGAAAATGCACTATAAATAGCCATTTTCAATAGCTATGTTAAATTACCAGAGGGTAAGACTCTGGACCAAATGATACCCTTCGGTATCTTTGTGAGACGAAGAACGTGCAAATCGATCCGCACGTCAGTGCGGCTGACCAAATCAACAACTGGGGAACATGTGCAAAGGAAGGAGCAGAACATTGGATGCTGGCATATACTCTGAGCTCATTGGACAGAAAAGTGCGTGACATCTTGCACAATTCTACCGAGGTTTCCTAAGTCATGGGGATACCCGGGGGTCATCATCCAAGTCATGGATGACCATTTGAAACTCATGGTGACTTGGCAGTGGATCCGCAAGGCACCAGCCCCAAATGTGTGGATGATTTTATTGGGATGAATTATCGTAACCATCTACATATGATTTTATGGATGATTTATAGATGTGGTATAGGTTTTAGATTTATTGGAATGATGTGATTGAGATGAACCAAGAAACTGGTGAATTGGGTATACCCTCTGGTAAGCATACAAGAAACTAGTGCACATGGCCATAGACAGTTCGTGGATTTACCCATTAAAAACGGTGTTATTTTCCCATGAGTTTTTGTAAACGTTTACCAGAGGGCACCCGATTCTTGGGCTTCGCATGAACAGCGTGACACATCCTTTTCAACAACACCGCCATGGAGTCCATTTGGAGTCCATTTGACAGCCAGAATTTTGTGACGGATCAATGGTTTACCCTCTGGTTATTTAACAGTTTGCCATGGGAAATCACTATGTTTAAGAACGGTAAACCCAGGTAAACCATCTATTTCTATGGGCAAATGGCTATGTTAAATAACCAGAGGATAAATGTTTTGTTATCAAAGCCCACATGTATGTAGCAACCATCCATACCAAACTATCCATCCAGCCAGTTGAGCCAGGAATTTATCTAACATAATTGGTTGGTGTTTTTTTGCCACCCCTCTGAAAAATGATGGAGTTCGTCAGTTGGAATGATGACATTCCCAATATGTGGGAAAATAAAAAATGCTCCAAACCACCAACCAGTTTATGTAGCAATATCATTTTAATCCCAGTTTCTTGCCATACGCTCTGCATGTTTGGTTAGAATCCCAGTGTTTACCCGAGAATTTTTCAATGATTTCCTGGCACTTGATCACCCTTTGGGGGTGCATTCCGGATAGAGTTTTTGGGGTAATAACCATATGAAATTCCCCAATTATATATGAAATATCCTTTGAAAGTAAACACTTTCCTGTGGATATCAGCCTTAATAGTCTATATATATATATATTTATATATATATATATATATATATGCACATCCTTTCATCAAATAATGGCAAACCAACAAAAAAAACATCCCAAAATCACCATAAATGGATGGTATAAACTATCCCCAAATGGTAGCTTTATTATTTGGTTTCCCGCATTACAGTAGATGTCTAGAATATACACAATACTTGATTTACCTATTCAACATGGTGATTTTCTATAGCAAATTGTTAGTTTACCAGAGGGTTTAACTATTGATCCAAGTAAACTCTTTACTAATATTAGTTAGATAAATGTTTACCTTGATTTTCCAAAATGAGTACCCTCTGGTTATGACTAACATAGCCATGGAAGCCATGGCCCATAGAAATATATAGAAATAGATGGTTTACCTGGGTAGACCGTTCTTAAACATGGGTGGATCTTTCCATGGCAAACTGTTAGTCATAACCAGATGGTAAACCATTTATCCAAGGTTTTTCCCCTCGTTGATCGCTCCAAGGTGCTACGGAAGTAAGGCGAGACCCACTGGCACTGCCTCGGACGGCGGCCGGCTTCGCGGTGAGCCATCTCAGGTAGCCTCTGGTAAACATACAAAAAACTCGTGAAAATTGCCATTTATAGTTGATTTAGCCATCAAAAATGGTGATTTCCCATATTTTTTTGTATGTTTACCAGAGGGTAGCTATTAAAAATGGGAAAACTATGGACATGTGGATAACTGGTTGGTGGTTTTTCGCCACCCCTCTGAAAAATGATGGAGTTCGTCAGTTGGGATGATGACATTTCCAATATACGGAAAAATAAGCTTATTTTTCATGTTCCAAACCACCAACCAGATAAATATTCGGAAAATGTCATGGCTACTCTTAGAGCCCCTTCAAAAACTTCGTAATTAGGTATGTTTACCAACCAAACATGGCAAATCATGCTGATTTTAACCTGAAAACATCAAACTGTGACCTTGAAATAAATTGCATAAAGCCGCAGAAAAACGTGCATACCACTCAGCATGAAAGTGCTTCTGTGTAAGCTGGTGGCATGACCAATTAGAGCCATGATCGTATGAGGGCTATCCATCTATGGCGACGCAGGGCTGAGCACCCTACGCGCGTTGCCACAGCAGGAACTGGCCCTCACAACACCATGACATGCATCTGGCAGGCTATCATTCGCACGTAGCCGTATCAGGGGCCGAAGAAGCTTGATGCCTTGAGCCCAGCTCTTCCTTTTCCCATGTCATCCTTCGGAACATCCTCGCCTTGACACCCTTACCCTGCGGCGCATATGTCTCTAGGAGCTTCATCGATGGCAGAGTGATTGCCTCCAGCAAGGTGCCACAGAATTCTCTCCACTTTTCGGCTGTCATCACACCTTGATAAGATGCATTTCCCATCTCTGTGAGATCGTAGAAGAGCACCTGAACATTGGGTAGTCGATTTCCGCAAACAAAGTCGTCTTTGTGCGACCGCATAGTCAGCTGAATTCAAGATTCTAAACCATAGTTTGTACTTCAGTTTCTACAATGCAGCTTTGATGCCACGAAGAACCGGTCTATTTTGGGGCTCTTTGCCCCTTCACGTTCTCCATCAAAACAAGTCTGTGTTTGTGGCGCTTTGTGTACTTTTTTTCTTGGCACTTTCACAAGAATTTATTTCCAGGATCTTTGGATCTTTGGGACCTGTCCCTATTCCCTGTGAACTCCACTGCATCGCGGGGTAATGCCAATCAAACCATCGACCTGGCAAACGAAGATCGCCCACTAGGATATGTGTGGATTAATCAACACATCATCCAAGCATTTGTTAACACATCAACGATATTTACGGCTAATGGTTGGTTGAAAAGTTTTGAATGGTTAATATACCCACCAACTTATCTCTCTTACCATCATCCCTATAATGATCCTGCAAGTGGGCAATAGATTTGCTCCGCCAATGACATGCGGATTCGTGTGGCTTCATATTCCTGAGTTTCTTCGTTGTAGCAAATGTTTCCCACTTCAGTTTGCGCAGGTGGCCACAATTGTGAAGCTTATATCCCAGGGTTATACCGGCTAGGACACAGCACAAATTGGTGAACAAGAACTGTTTTCTATAGATTTCCCCTTGAACCAAGCCTTTTTATCACCATTTTACACAAGTGGACAATCCACAATGCATTGACAGCTAATTCTTCAATTATATGTATATATGGACATATATGTATCCATCCCCCATCTGCCGGCTACCTGTCAGATAGGTAGCAAATCCCAAAATCAAGGGGTAAAATCATCCCGGCTACCATTATCAAAGGTAACTGGAAGGTTGGGGCATTTATGATTGGTTCAATCATGTAAGATATCCTAACATATCTAAATTTCGTAGTGAATCACCAAACCCGGATTATTAAAAAATATTTCAATACCATATATACATACAGTTTCCGAATGCATATATATGAATCCGCCAGCCTGCCGGCGTGTCTGATTGGGAGGTGTTGTTCTTGTTTCTGTTCTTGGCTTGTGCGTGTTCCTTTTTTCTCTTGCTGCGCGTTTTTGCTTCGTCTGAATCAAGGTCAGCCCCCCCTACCCCCCCATTTGCACTAGCACTAGCGCTCGTACTGGTACTGGTACTGGTACTGGTAATAGTACTAAACTAGTACTACTGCTGCTGCTGCTACTGCTACTACTACTACTACTACGACTACTACTACTACTACCACTACTACCACTACTACCACTACCACCATTACTACAATTACAACTACAAAAACAACAACAACTACTACTACTGCTACTGCTACTACTACTGCTACTACTGCTACTACTGCTACTACTGCTACTACTGCTA